CTGAGTCTTCCATACTAGTACGTTATTCAGGAATTAGAAATCCATGAAAGCCTTAATCATGGAGTGTGAATAAGTTTAAGTGGTCATTGGATCCAGCAACCCACTGCCCCTTCCAATGTGTCAGAGGTCAGATGGGACCATCGTTTAAATTAATAAAGTGCAGTGAATGGCTGAGGCAGTTGATCTGATCAATCTAGGCTCCAGTATGCCCTGAATGGTCCCACACTGTTCAACAGTAGGCTCTTCAGGGGACCCAAATTATTCAACAGTGACCAGCACTTAACAGAGGCATGTGGAAGTTAATTATGACCTTGGGAGGCTAGAAAGTCCAAGATCAAAGTGGGGGCTGATTCAGCTCCTGCTGAGGGCCTTCTTCCTGGCTGCCTTTCCACCGTATCCTCACGTGGTGGAGAGGGAATTATCTCTCTCTCTTCTTCTTTTGTTTTTATATATATAAAGCCACTAATCCCATCCTGAGGCTCCCATCCTCAAGACCTCCTCGAATCCTAATTACCTCCCAAAAGCCCATCTCCAAAAACCAGCACACTGAGGGTTTGGGCTTCAACATATGAAGTTAGTGGGGGCACAGAGTTCAGCTCATACTATAACCCTTTTGCAACTTCTTCGTCTAAAACAATTCTATTCTCTAAGTTATGAATAATCTTTGAAGTGACGTCTCTCAGATTTCCCAAAATATTTCTTCTTTTAGCCATGATTAAGCATAGAGAATTTCCATCTCAGCTGGGAGAATGTTGGAGAGAATCAGCTCTGTAGGAGTAAAGGCTGCTTTTATAAAGGAAGCCTTCGTAACACTCTTCTCCACCGAAGAACACTTAGAAATTACATGAGGCCGAGGGAGGTCAGGGATAAGAGAAGGGAGGGTGGAAACAGGCTTATGTCAGCAAGAACTCAAGCATGCAAACAATGGCCTGCTCTCTCTGTCTGCTTAGCCTGAGCGGAGCTCTGGAGCCAACCACACTCAAACTGAGACTTTGATTACCATATAGGGTCTGTGCTACAAGGAAATAAACCTCAAATTTGTGAGAGTAACAGTCAGGTGAGGGGGAAGAGATTGAAAACAGTAATCTACATTTAGGACTTTCTTGAGCCTATGTGCAATCATCTCTGGAATAATTTCATATTCTAAGCTGGAGCAGGGGCTAAGGGCTGGTTTTGTGTTCATTCTATGTTGACCTCTGCAGTGGTTGAAAAACAAAACATAACACAACAGAATGACTCTGGCTAGATCAAACGTCATCTCTTGGTACCTGAGAATGGTGCAGAGAAAGAGAATCCTGAGCAGAAGGTGGAAGCAGAGAAAGTCTTAAAATATGTATGACTGATTCAGTTACCTCTTAGGAGGCACAGGGAAAGGAGGAGGAAATGAGTGACATTTACTGAGAGCCAAGAAGAGTGTAAGGTCTTAGAAGGAAAGGACCCTGCCTGTCTTGTTCCTAATGAGTTCCTAGCTCCTAACATAAGCATTAGCATTCAGAAGACACTAAGTATTTGTTTTAGGAAGGAAAGACATGACCCAGAGCCCATTTTATAGTAGGCACTCAGTAGGTGTTTTTGAGAGAATTAATTAATTAATGAAAGCCTACTGTATACCAGGCATTGCTTCATTCTTTCATTCAATTCACAAGGATTTTGTTGAGCAAGGTCTATCATTTGCCAGACATTCTTGGAACTCAAAACAGTGAAGGGATAGTTCCTGCCTCCGAAAAGCTTACAGTGTTGGGGAGGTAGGTTCATGAACAATGGTGATGCAATATGCAGTGACACAGGCTACACGGGGCTGCAGGCCACATCGGAGAAGAGGTTCTCAGTCTCCTAGGGAGTCAGGGCCGTCTTTACAGAGGGGGCAGCCTTTGAACTGAAACTTTAAGACTAGCAGAGGATCTCAGACATTTCAGACAAAGAGAATGGTGTAAGAGACGATGACAAGAAGTTCATCCTTGCAGGAGGAAAAATTCAGAGGGGCAAAGAAAGTGGAAGAGTACATTGAGAAAGGAAAGAAATGAGGCCTAGGCCTGGTCTGGTATTTCATTTGAAGTAGCTTGAACTCACCTTCTAGGAAGTAGGAAGGAGGACCAGCTTCATGGACATGTGACCTGCTCAGTCCCACAGTACTCTATCTCAGTCCGCAGACCAACTTTAGGTCCACTGAGACAAATCAGCTAGGGCAACTTACTGGTTTTTAAGGGGGGGGGGAGGGGGAGAGACATCTATGTGAAAGAGAAACATTGATCAGTTGCCTTTTCATATGTGCCTCAACTGGATTTGAACCAGCAACCTTGCAGTGAACGAAACAACATGCCAAACAACTGATCCACACTGACAGGGGCAAGGAGGGTGGGGAGAAGACATTTTCAAATGAAACTTTAAAAAAAAAAATGTATCATGCTTACATATAAAAATTCCTACTACATAGTTTTTCACAGATAATCTGTTGAAAAGGAAGACATTTGGCTTCAGAATTAAAAGGAGTCATAAGAAAGGCAGTAAAATAAGTAGGAGACACAGTGCTTAACATTGAGCAATCTATATTTATGAATGATTGGAAGAGTTAATGAATGGAATGAATTAAATCAACAATTTCCAAAATGTATTGTAGTCCCAGAGATAGTTTTAGTAACTTAGTTGTTTTGAATTTGGGATGCATTTTCCCACAAAAACAATGTTATAAGTAAAAGTTAAGTGCCAAGAAATCCCGCGAAGGCTGTTTAGCCCATAATGTAGTAATTAAATGTAAAAAAGTAATACTATTGTGTAAAAACATGGCTTAAACAGTTTTGAATACTGGTGTTTGATGGGCAGTAACTTAAACTCCTAGATGAGGTGGCCCATGAAAAATGTGATTCTCAGTGGGACTTCTGGGACCTTTCCAGGGTTCGGGGGGGGCATAGTCTCCTTTTTATATTTATCTTCAAGTGAAAATGTTTGCATTTCTTTCCCTTGGTGCAATTATACTGTTCTCCTCAGCATCAGGATCACTATTACTTACCTGGTAAGCAATTAATAACTGATGTTTCCACATGGATGGAAGGGTAGGAACAAAGCAAGTTGGGAGGTTGGGGGAAATTTCTCTTAAGTAACTGAAAGAGCTGGAAGAGGTGCGCATGTCACAAACAACACACATGTAGTATTTGTTATCGTGTGTTTCTGTGTTCAGAATAAAAATAATGTGACATACTATGCTCTTCGGAGGCTTACTGTTTATAAAGGGAGTAAGACCTACACATAGAAAAAGTGCTGATGGGTGAGACATGTCGGATGACAATCCGGGTGATGGCTGTGCAGAGGAGAGAGGGATCTTTGGGGCCAGGACGAGGGGGAAGTAAGTTTGAGTTTGACCTTGTGGAAAAGGATTTTTGTCAGGAGAAAGCTGGGAGTGTATAAGGTGAAATTATTTTAATGGTACTTGGCCGAAAATATAGAAAAAGGGAGATACATGATGTGAGCATTGGTCTACACAACAAAAAGAAAGAATATAGAGGGAGCTAGGATGCTGGGTGATTTCCCCATGGAGGCCATGCAATGGCTCAGGAAAGACTGGTGCTGGCTAACCCAATGGAGGTAATGGCCTTGGTTTTCAGGTGATCAGACTTTCAGAGGCATTTGCAAATCGGATTGTGCCTTAATATGCCTTGGTGTTTCTGTAGAATATAGAATTTGTATAACTGTATCATAATCTTCCTGTTGAGTTTGGTGACATGTGTCCTATTGGAAAAATCCTACTGCCTCCTAAAGAAGAAACTCTTGAGACCCTTGCTTTGGTTGAAAATAAAGTCAAGTTCCATTGGGCAGTCTTCCCTCTTGGCTGGCTCTCTCCCTTCCTTCTCTTCTAGCTTTCATTCACTGTTTGACCCTGCCCAAATCACTTCTTTCTGGGTCCCTTTTTAAAAACCTGTAATAATAAAAGGGTAATATGCTAATTAGACCAGACATCCTTCCTGATGAAGCCAGCTCGGGTGCCAATGGTGGCCAGGGGAGGGAAGCCTGGTTCTGGGTGCCTGAGGAAAGCTGGTGCTGGCAGCAGGGGGAGGAGAGGGAAGCCTACTCTTGCACCAATTTTCATGCTTCATGGGGCTTCTAGTTTATTTATTACAGTCCCAAACTAGATTATCTAATCGTGCCAATTCTAAAAACTTGATGATGAAACTTTTCAAAATGACAACACATGAGCCACGAGAATGAGACCTGCTCAAATCAAGCTGCTGTGGTTTCCCCAACATGATTACATCCGGTTATTACAAATTATCACCAGTTTTCTGAACACTAGGTGACCTTTCTGTCCTCAGAGCTGTTTCGGGGGCACTGAGATTTAACACTTTTAGGGGAAAATGTGCAAGTGGAGGGTTTTCCTTCTGTTAAAAATAAAAAGGAAAGAAAAAAAAGTGGCGAGTCACAGCAGCAGCAAAATCTGTTCGCTCCCAGATTCATTCAGAGGCTCTCTGGGCAGCCACAGGCAGATAAGACCTTATCTCTCCGCCCTCGGGTTCCCCTTCCCGGGCTCTCCCTGCACCGACGGGCGGGGTAAGGGGCCCCAAACCGCGGAGATCAACGCCCCAGGCGCTGAGAGGCAGCCAGACCGCCGCTAGATCTGTGGCTTCCCGCAACGCGTGGGCGCCGCAGGAGCCGGAGCCACACTTCCGGTGTCCGGCCGGGAACTGGCCACACTTCCGGTGTCCAGCTGGGCGCTCACCACACTTCCGGTGTCCGGGCAGGCGCTCGCCACACTTCCTGTTTTCGGCGCGGGCGGGGCGAGGAGGAGCGCGGAGAGGCATGGAGGGGAGGAGAGGGCTGGGAGGAGGGCCGCCGGGCGGGCGGGAGGCGGGAGGCGGGAGGCGGCGGCGGCCCCTGTGCAGGCGTGGCGCGCGCGGGGCGGGCGCGGGCTCAGAGCGTCCGCCTGGTCTCCGGAGCCGGGAGCAGCCTCGGCGGCCGCGCCTCCTGCCCTCCGTCCTTCCCGCCGGCCCTCCGCCCCGCCGCGCGGCACCATGCCCGCCGTGGACAAGCTGCTGTTGGAGGAGGCTTTGCAGGACAGCCCCCAGGTACCTCCCGCCGCCCGGCGCCCCTCGCCCGAGGGCTGCGGCCGAGGAGGCCCCTCCGGCCGGCCGCCCCGGGGTGGAGGCTGCGAGTGCTCAGGGCCCCCGAGGGGGGCGGGCCCGGCCCTGCGTCCTGATCCCGGGTGTCCTTGGAGGGGGCGTCCCCCTGGCTGAGCTGGAGGACCGGGGCGAGCCCCCATCCCCCCGAGGCCCGAGCCTTTGTGTCCTGACCCCTTCCTTCCCAAAGTCAGCTGAGACCGAGGCCGCCCGGCCTGAACTCACGCTCCACCACCCAACACTAGCTTTGCGCCGCGGGCACGTAACTTAACCTCCTGGTGCCTCAGTTTTGTCATCTGTAAAATAGGGATAATAATGACACCCGCCCCTTAGAATTGTTAGAAGTAAATAAGGAGATGCCTGTAGAGTTGTTGTGAAAGACGGTGCCTGATGCATTGTAAGGGAGGAGTCGCCTCTATTATTATTATTATTATTATCTCCACCACTCTTAAACAGAGGTCATGGGACCTGCTGGACTTAGGGCCAGAGCGGGAGGCAGAGCCTGGCTCTCCCCCTGCGGTACCAGGCCTCCCTTTGGCACTGATTTCCCATTTGTGGAGAGAAAATTAACAATAGCAGCCCTATTTGTCTCGCAGGAGAACTTCCTTAGCGCCCTCGAGATGCCAGTCGGTCCTCTGAGCTCTGCAGGTGAAAGCGGGTGTGTTCGCCTAGGCCAGTGGTCTGCAAACTCATTAGTCAACAGAGCCAAATAGCAACAGTACAACGATTGAAATTTCTTTTGGAGAGCCACATATTTTAAACTTAAACTTCTTCTGACACCTCTTCTTCAAAATAGTCTCGCCCAGACCGTGGTATTTTGTGGAAGAGCCACACTCAAGGGGCCAAAGAGCCTCATGTGGCTCGAGAGCCGCAGTTTGCCGACCACAGGTCTAGGAGATAAGTGTCTAGGCCCTCGCAGTTGAGTGCAAATTGACATTTGCTCATGATTCAGTGCACCTTCACCCAGGGAACTCTTGTTCTCCATTAACATTTCCCTAGCTTCCTATCTGCTCCCCTGCTTCCTGCATCCCTGGTTATTTAAGTAAGTCCATTCCCTGGCGTCCCAACTCCTGAAAACTTAGAGATGAACCTCTTTTCCTTGCACAGTTTCTCTTCTCTTTCTGGATCCTTTCCTTTTTCTTGTTAGTGAATTGTAGTCCCTGGGTGATCCTTTGGGATTACCTACCGCCACCCTGCATCTCTCCAGTTCAGAATAAGTAATCGAAAGGGCTGCGTGTGGGCTTGGTTGCCTTGTGCCCATTTCTTTGTAAGGAATTGTAAGCAAGCTGTGATTTTGTCTTTTGCATTTGCATCTGCTGCTCTGATGGACTTTTCAAAGGCGTCTTTGAAGTCTCTACACGTCTGGCATGTTAGCGGACCAAAGCCCTGGGTAGAAGTCATTTTGTCCGACCTCACACAATAGGTAGATTGTCTAACATTTTGAGCAAGGATTTCCATATGCTTTGAAGCCGGAGAAACGAAGGTGCCAGGATGTATTGCCTTCCTAACTGAGCATGGTGATGGCTGAGCCAGTTTCGAGGGGTTGCACTCATTGTTGCCCTCACCCATATGTTACCTGAATTTTTGTCTCTCACAAACCACCCCTTTACAGGATTTTCTCCGCTGTGAGTGAGTAGAAAGAGGCCTGGCAAACAAGACTGGAGACCTGGGTCCTAATTCTGGCTCCACCACTAGCTTATCATGTGATTTGAGCGAGACACTTATCTCCATCCTGGCTCAGCTTTCTCATCTGCAGAACGAGGGACATGGAGCAGGTGATCTGTAAGGGGCTTTGGAAGCTTAAAATTGAATTGCATCTGCATGGTTTATAGCTCTGAGCTTGAATATGGAAGAGGGGATTTAGAGACATTGTCATTCCTGCTTACTGTGCCTCTTCATGTAGGGAATTTGTCATTGCTTTTGAGATTTGGGTGTCACCCCTCTAGGTTTCTTGGTGAGGCTGAATGGATGCTAACTTTCAAGAAAGTTATAATCATCAATGGGTAATCATCAATGCATATTTATTTGATAATCATCAATGCATATTTATTTAACACATGTATGTTAAAGGAAACTCATAGACTTGAAACTGGAAGGAATCTAATCCAGCGCCTTTGTTTTATGTGTAAAGAATAAAACCAATAGCAAACACCTATATCACACGTGCATTTTATGTGCCGACCACTGTTCTAAATAATGCTGTTCTCAGCTTTACTTGTATTCATTCTCTTAATCCTCCCAACAGTCTTTTGAAGTGAGGTGCCCTATTAAAATTACCAAGGAGCAGAGAAGTTAAATAACTTGCTCAAGAGTATACGTAAGAAGGGGAAGAGTCAGGATTGGAGCCCAAGCAGTCTGCCTGTACTGTTCAGATTAGCCCAGCCCACCTAACACCTGGCTTTTCTGTCATCAGTGACCTGAAATGCTGTTTCACTGAAAGGAAAGGATCCTAAGGAACCATTGTTTGTTTCCTCTAGTTTTATGTGGAGTGGTTATGAGGGTTGCTCCAGTAACCTGGTTGCACAGGCTTCGTTAAAGGAACACAAAAGCTTTTGTATTTGAACATAGTGACCCAGGAAGAGATGAATAGCAGTTGCTGGCCCTTCACCACATCTATTCGAGTCCTTTTTAGTACCGCACGATGTCTCAGGCGGCTGGTTTATGTGCATACACATATTATTTCTGGTTACTTCTCATACATGACATGGAGAGTTTTAGGCACTGAGATACTTGTCTGCATGGCTGTTTGCTAGTGAGCCTCTGAGCCACTGCCTCACGCCAGGCGCTGCTAGATGCTGGGGAGCAGTGACAAATGAGATGAGTGTGCCTGCCCTCCACCTGTTCACAGTCTGTTCCCGAGACAGATATGGAAAGCAGCAGTCCCAGCACAGTGTGCACACTGCTGTGATAGGAACACAAGTGCAGCTTTGAGCTGCTGCAGCTCAGACCTCGTCAGGGGCTGCTTCTCTTTTGTGTAGATATCTACTTCTGAGATAAAGTGCAGACAGAAGCACGATTACTTGCTAGTTGGTTTTAACTTTTTGTTTGTTTGTTTCCTTTGCAGTTTGTTTCCTTTGCAGAAGCACAGAGAAAGAAAAAAGATTAGTTCTGAGATTATGCATCAAGTAGTCCATCTGGGACTAGCCTTCTCTAACCAAACCAGGCCTGTCTTTAGACCAGCAAGATGCCTCAGAGCACAGCATGGTGGTTATGTCTTCATAGTAGAGGGGTTCTTTCCCTCCCCCCCCCCCCCCACACACACACACCCTTCTCTTTGTTTACAGACATTTTTCCTTTCAGTAGGCTCGGTTCTACTGAGAGAGTTCTCTCCCTCTGCCAAATGCTAGGTGTAAGAACTTTGTTTTCACCTTACAAAATACTTGCATATATAATTTAACTATATATATTTTCTAATCAGAGCTATAAAAGTTATGCCATTATATAATTATATGGCTATTCTTTAGTAAAAAAAAAAAAATGTCTAGGATTATTTTATTAGGTAACACCCAGTTCCTGTAAGATAGAGGGATGGTGTGGAGCTGAGCTGTGTCCGTAGGGTGTTAGGTTTTGTGTTTCTGGCCAGGCATACTCTTGAGAGTAGAGGGTAGTAGAAAAAGGATGGGATTCAGATCCTGATTCTGCCACTATTGCCCTTAAGCAAGTTACTCAGCCTCTCTTAACTTGTGTTTTGACATCTCTAAAGTTAGAATGAAAATAGGTACTTAATGGAATTCTTCTGAAGGATAAAGAGCATATATAAAGTGTCTTCATGTTTGCATTTCATAGTAATAGCTCCATAAATGATTGCTGTTATTGTCTTTATAAGTGACGTGCACCAGTATCTTTCTGATATTTTTGTAGAATTTTTGAACAACTGGTATGCCTTTGCCTGGTTGTTGGTCTCATTCCATCCTTATGCCTCAGAACGTTGCTGTTGTTCCACATATGTGTTTAAGCAGAAGTGGAGCTGGTAAATGATATTGTTAGTGGTGGTGGCAGACCTCAGTTCTTGAGTTCTGCAAAGAAAGAATTCAGGGTCAAGAATTCTAGCACAAGAAGATGACTAACCTTTTAGAAAGAAAGTCACAGAGGCAGAAGCAGTGAGCCAGCTGGGCTGTGTGGACGTGGGAAACAAGTCACAGATGCAAAAGCAGGGCCCTGAGAGCTCAGGAAAGACACGTGCTGAGGAAAGGAGGCGGGTGGGGGAGGCATGGGCACTGGTCCTTTGCCTTAAGGGTTTTTATGTATTTTCCAAAAGGGAGAATTTTAGGAGAAGTCTCAGGGGAGGATCTTAAAATATTCATCCACTTTCCAGGTGAGGTTTGTTCAGGGTCATGGTCTCTGACTGGTTGGCACTAGGGTAGGGGTTCACTAGTCATTGTATCTGGTCCTAATGTCAGCCATGGTGTTGCTTTGTCTTGTTTTGCTTCTTTTCTGGGCCCCGAGCTGAAACATAACTGAGGCCTAGATGTTACCTCTAGTTTGGCCAAAACTCTGTCTCTATGGTCAACAGACGTGAGGCTTTGCTCCTAAGGTTATTTAATGTTGATGAGAACTTCATTGTCCTGAGAGCTTAATGCTTAAGGGAGTGGTCCAGCAAAGGAAAAAGAGGCAGGTGAGTCAGGGTGCTGGATGGGGCCAGTTTAAATCAGCCATCTGTCTGTTTTCCCCATTCTGCTTGCCAAGGAATTCCTTAACTTTTTACTATGTTGCCTAATTTCCAAACAGTGTCTGAGATAGCCGGGGATGGATGATAGATAGATAGATTTTTTTTTTTTCAGGGGAGATCATAGCCTAGTTAAATTACAAAGGGAAGATTGGAATTTTCCTGTCAGTTTTAATGGCTGTCATGGTAAATGTGTGCAAAGAAAGAAAAACAACAACGCTTGTGATATGGTTCCTGGCAGTTATCACAGGTGAGAGCATGACAGTAGCTGACCAAAGAAAAG